CATATCCTGAGGCATACGGAATTTGGGGAAGCCACTGTGCAATCCAGTGAGGCTTCAATGTGCAAGAACCAAAATGGTAGGGAGGTCTTGAAGCCAATGAGGGATTTACAGCATCTTGAATGGAGAGCTGCAAACCACCAGGGGGAAGAGTTGCACTTTTCCAGGCTTTTTAGGAAGCTCTGCAACAGTTGTGATTATAGATAGGCAATTAGAACTGGAAGAAACTTCCAAGAACATCTAGGTTTGTCCTCATTTTGCAAATGAGGAAACTAAACTCTGTGGAAGGGAAGGGGTTGCCTCAAAAGTCACAGTTTAGCTGGGGACAGTGGCTCATGCTGATAATCCCAGCAACTCAGAAAGCTGAGGCAAGAGGATTACTTGAGGCCAGACTGTGCAATGTAGCAAGACCCCATCTCTAAAAAAATTAGCCAGGCATGGTGGTGCATGCCTGTAGTCCCAGCTACTCAGGAGGTTGAGGTGGGAGGATCACTTGAGCCCAGAAGTTCAAGGCTGCAATGAGCCATGATTACACCACGGCACTACAACCTTGGTGACACAGTGAGAACCTGACTCTTAAAAAAAAAAAAAAAAAAAGATAACTAGAACTTCTAGAACTTCTTGTTTACAGTTAACCAGAAACTATACAAGTGGTTTAACATGCATTATCTTACTCAATCCATACAAAAGTCTTAGGGAGGTGTTAGCACTGTTTCTACTGATGAAGAACTGAGGTACTTCATAAAACCACTTACCCAAGGTGTCTTGAGTCTGTTACAGTTGGCATTCAAATCCAGGTCAGTCTGCCGCCAGAGCCACTACCCTTACTCCTCACTGAATCTGCCTTTATATTGTTGAGCCCATGATCCCAATTCTGCTCTTTCCAATTTGAACTTCCAGGGATTTTACTGTGAACTTGGTAGCAACATTAAAATGAAGCTGAATTTTTTGTTAATGGCAACGCCGTGTGTCTCCTCTAGCTTACCCCCTCTCACCTTTCAACCCCATCTGTGGCCTTTGTCCAGGCCCACAGCTTAGCCATGGCTTCCCTCCTGCATCCCTGCCATGGGTTGCCGGCCTCACACTTACAGCAGCCGAACAGTGATTTTAGAAGGCCACCAGTCCCCACAGCTACATGACAATGAGAAGCAAACTTTTTTGTGACAGATTGTATTGGCATAGGCATGATAGATGGGGCTTGGTACGTTTTGAATCAGCATTTGCAAAAAAAATTGTCTTGAATTTTAAAATGAACAACAAAGATAGGTTCATTGAGTGGAACAAATGTCTAAACTGCATGTACTTCCGTGCCACGTTATGCCTAGAGTGAAAAAGGGAGGAAAAAGTGACCAAAGAAGATACATCAAGCCGGGCGCGGTGGCTCATACCTGTAATCCTAACACTTTGGGAGGCTAAGGTGGGTGGATCACTTAAAGGCCAGGAGTTCAAGACCAGCCTGGCCATCATGTCTCTACCGTCTCTACTAAAAATACAAACTTTACCTGGGCATGGTGGCACATGCCTGTAATCCCAGCTACTCAGGAGGCTGAAGCAAGGAGAATTGCTTGAACCCAGGAGTCAGAGGTTGCACTGAGCCAAGATTGCACCACTACACTCCAGCCTAGGCCAAAGAGCGAGACTCTGTCTCAAAAAAAAAAAAAGAAAATACCCTCTGCGAACTGAATTCAGCCCTGGGGTACCTTCTGAGGGTACACAGCAACTGGCAGGGAAGGATTTCTCTTGGGGGCAGTATGAAGTTAATAATATCCCTTGGCCAGGCATGGTGACTCATGCCTATAATCCTGTCACTTTGGGAAGCCAAGGTGGGAGGACTGCTTGAAGCCAGGAGTTCAACACTAGCCTGGGTAACACAGTGAGACCCCATCTCTACAAAAAATTTTAAAACTGGGGCCAAGATGGGAGGATCACTGGAGCCCAGCAGGTTGAGGCTGCAGTGAGCTAGGATCGCACCACTGCACTCTGGCCTTGGCGACAGAGTTTGACTCCAATCTCTAAAAATTTCATAATAATAAAAATATCCCTTTGTGTTGTGGGAAGATCTCAAGAGCCAGGAGATTTCTGTCTCTTGATCTTCATCCCAAATCCATTTTGCCTTTGATTCAGCCAGGCCAAATTAAGGATTTAGGTCCTATGCTAAGATGGTAAGGGCCTCAAAAGGTGGAGAATTTGAATGATGAAATAAGGTGTTAATAACTACTATTAAGCACTTCCTTGGCAGACTTAGTATAGGGTTAATTACAGGATTTGGAATCAGTGAAAGCCAAGTCTGCATTCCTAATCAGCAACTTACCAGCTGTATGACCTTGGGTAAGTTACTTAATTTATTTGTAAAATAGGGGTAGTATTCTTGTGGTGGTGGTGATTAAATGAAAGAATGCATGTAAAATCCTTGCTAATTAACATTTACTGACTGCCTATCATGTCCTAGACTGTTTAAAATGCTTTCCAGGTACAGTACTTTTTTAATTCAGGCTGAAGTGCAGTGGTGCAATCTTGGCTCACTAAACCTCTGCCTCCCGGGTTCAAGCAATTCTCATGCCTCAGCCTCCCGAGTAGCTGGAATTACAGGTGCATGCCACCACGCCTGGCTAATTTTTGCATTTTTAGTAGAGATGGGTTCTTACCATGTTGGCCAGGCTTGTCTCAAACTCCTGACCTCAGGTGATCCACCCACCTTGGCCTCCCAAAGTGTGGGGATTACAGGCATGAGCCTGTAATCTAATGCATGTACACCTCCAGGAGGAGCAGGACTGCACTGAAGTGGAGACACGGGATGGATGTGAAAGGAGAAGCATTCCAGATGGAAGCACTTAGCATCTGGTGAATGAGCAAAAGTGATGCTTTCAGAGAGAGTTCAGATTTCATTGTAGAAGCCCAGGCAGTGGCCGGGCGCGGTGGCTCATGCCTGTAATCCCAACACTTTGGGAGGCCGAAGCGAGCGGATCACCTCAGGTCAGGAGTTCGACACCAGCCTGGCCAACATGGCAAAACCCCATCTCTACTAAAAATACAAAAATTAGCCGGGCCTGGTAGCACACGCCTGTAATCCCAGCTACTCAGGAGGCTGAGGCAGGAGAATAGCTTGAACCCAGGAGGGGGAGGTTGCAGTGAGCCAAGATTGCTCCACTGCACTCCAGCCTGGGAGACAGGGGGAGACTCCAACTCCATCTCAAAAAAAAAAAAAAGCAAAGAAAAAAGCACAAACAGCACGAAGATGACCCCAAAGGGAATAAAATCACTTCCAACATCACTTCCATGGGCTGCCTGCACTGACCCCACAGACAAGTCTCCCTTAGTCCCTGTGCTTCTTCAGAGCATCTACTGCAACTGTAATTAATTATTGCTTAAGTATTTAATTCATGTCTAAACCTGCTAGACAGGCAGCACCAGGAATTGTTCACCATCTTGTTCACCACTAACATTTGGTCGATATTTGTTGAATGGATGGATGGATGAACACTACATACAACTATTACCAAAGATGACACCAAAAGAAATTAATTCCTTCAATGAAGTGAATTAATGAAAAAAATAAGTGAATGAAAAAGTGTGTGGTCAAGTGCAGTGGCGTGTGCCTGTAGTCCCAGCTACTTGGCAGGCTGAAGTGGGAAGACTGCTTGACCTAGGAGTTTGAGTCAAACCTGGCAACACAGCCCGGACTCATCTCTTAAAAATAAAAAAAAGGGAATAAATGACAGCACTGGTTGGGTGCTTGTGTTTCGAATGTATCTTAAATGCTTTCTAAATTCAGTTCCAATTAGGTTTTATGACAGTGATTACTTAAGAGGAGGCTCCTCTCCCCTGAGTAATTGCACCTTTCTGACCTTTCTGCTGGACCCTTCAGTGTTAAGAACAGCCACTGTTCTCACTCATAGGTGGGAATTGAACAATGAGATCACTTGGACACAGGAAGGGGAACATCACACAGGAAGGGTCCTATTGTGGGGAGGAAGTGGGGGAGGGATAGCATTAGGAGATACACCTAATGTAAATGACGAGTTAATGGGTGCAGCACACCAACATGGCACATGTATACATATGTAACAAACCTGCACGTTGTGCATATGTACCCTAGAACTTAAAATAAAAAAATAAAAAAATAAAAGCCACATGGCTTGTGAATCATTTGGCAAATCTGCAAAAAAATTATACACACACGTATTCATTACATATGCGCACACACACACATTCCACACATCACCACCAGTTTCATATTTGGTTTGAATAAAACTTTTAATTTATTTTATTTTATTTTTTTGAGACAGAGTCTCACTCTGTTGCCCAGGCTGGAGTACAGTGGTACAATCTTGCCTCACTGCAAACTCTGCCTCCCGGATTCAAGCAATTCTGCCTCAGCCTGCCAAGTAGCTGGGATTATAAGCATGCACCACCACGCCCAACTAGTTTTTGTATTTTTAGTAGAGACGGGGTTTCACCATGTTGGCCAGGCTGGTCTTGAACTCCTGACATTAATGCTGCACCCATTAACTCGTCATTTACATTAGGTATATCTCCTAATGCTATCCCTCCCCCTCTTCCTCCCCACAATAGGACCCCATGTGTGATGTTCCCCTTCCTGTGTCCAAGTGATCTCATTGTTCAATTCCCACCTATGAGTGAGAACCTATAAGTGATCCGCTTGCCTCAGCCTCCCAAAGTGCTGGGATTACAGGCATAAGCCATTGCACCCAGCTAATTTCTTTTCTTCTCTTTTCTTTTCTTTTTTTTCTTATCCAGTCTCTGTAGAGACTGTCAAAAATTGCCAGTGCTGATTATATTTCAAGTCATCACAGTGGGGTATTGGGAAAAGTTTCAATTAGCAATAATCACGTCTCGGATAAATCTCACTGGCTACGGTACTGCCACTGTGCAAAGCTAGTTTGATGTAGGACTTTGATGGTCATGTATAACACCTCATAGGGGCAGAACCTCCTCCATCCCTGACTCCAAAGACTCATGTAATCAATACGCAAGAAAGTTCAGAGATGAGACCTCTGGTTGTATTCCACCTTTGGGACATAGGGGATGTTTTTAGTTCTAAGTCACAAATAAATGCAGGTTCTACAATTCAGAGGCTTCATATCCCTGCTTGAGGATTACATGTTTATTCAGGATGGACCACTTTTCTTAGCAACAGTTTCTAAACCTTTGCCAGGTCTGGGAAGTCTGGCAGGAGAGATTTCTAAGAACCAATCAATCATGCACACATTTCCTGAGGATAAAATACATTATTCCCTAGTTGTCTCTTCCTAGGTTTTTGTGGGCTCATTTCAATATTACAACAATCTTTATTGGAAAACCCCAAGTATTTTGTCTTGAAAAATCAGCAATCCAGGTGTAAAAAATAGCAAGGAATGCCCAATTTTACTTTGATATTTACATTGTAGTCAGTTTCTACTCCTGGCTAAAGGCTTGGATTTTCTTCTGGGCAGTTCCTAAAGACACAGGTGGCATGAAAGAAATTGTTCCATTTTCATCTCCTCTCTTTATTTGATTGGTGTCTGGTTACCAAAACAGTCATCAGGCCCTTGGATTACCTTCTTGAACTGATCTTCTAAATCGCAAGTCTAGGTTGGACACAGGAAAGAGAAGTTAACGCAGGCACACTCTGCCCCATCTCTACAAGGGAAAGACCAACTTGGCCTTCAAGAGCCCATAGCTTCTCTTGCCTTCCTTGCCTCCTCCTTTTAGTTTCTATAATCTTCCCCCTTGAACTCCCATCACTGGAAGTCATCAGTAAATGCTATCCCAAAAAAATAAATGGGTTTGTTTGTTTCCTGCCCAGAATTCACTCTCCTGGCATCGGCCCCAGATCTTCCTTGGGAAGTCACCCTTCCCTACTCTCGGTCCCTATGGTCTTCATGGTTGTACCACCTGTATCGACAGATGAAATCATGTGACCAAGGGAACTGCCACATTTTTGTAGCCACAACAATTGGTTCATAGACAGGGACATCACCCAGTCACATCCTATGAAACACCATGAGAATCCTGGGTCCCTCAGTCTTTCCCACCAGACTGACTCTGAGAAGATATAAGAAGTTGATAAAGCTGTCTTGCACTTATTAAGAAGAGTCTATTGCAAAAGGAACTAACATGGGTAAGAACGGAACTGAAAAAAACCGGGTTCTGGTGACATTGTGAGTTCCTGCATTAGGCTAGACCTAAAGCAAGAATTATTCTTGGAATTTTGCTTAAGCCAGTTTGGATCCAGTTTGCAACTGAAAAAGTAACGGACACACGAGCAATTCTACACTTATCTTAGGATATTTCTCCAGAAATATATTAGTGTCTTATTCTGTCCCAGTTCAATTACTCACCAAGACTGCTATCATGTTCCCCCAAATGCAAAGCGTCTTGTTGCTGAAAAAGTAAAAAACAGGCAGCCATGTCACGGAGGAAGAATGCAGATTCTGGGTCTTGTTGCATAGTTGGCACAATTTGTGAGCCCTCCACTGCTTTAAAATTAAGGGATGACAGATTAAGGCCAAGTCTCTGCCATAGAAATATTGAACATGTTTTGTTTTTTAGGGAGAGTGATTCCATTCATTCATTCCACAGATAATCTTTTTTTTTTTTTTTTTTTTGACAGTCTTGCTTTGTCTCCCAGGCTGGAGTGGAATGGCATGATCTCAGCTCACTGCAACCTCCACCTCCCAGGTTCCAGCGATTTTCCCGCCTCAGCCTCTGGAGTAGCTGGGATCATAGGTGTCTGCCACCACGCCCGGCTATTTTTTTTTTTTTTTTTTTTTTTAGTAGAGACAGGGTTTCACCATGTTGGTCAGGCTGGTCTCGAACTCCTGACCCCAAGTGATCTGTCCACTACAGCCTCCCAAAGTGCTGGGATTACAGGCGTGAGCCACCGTGCCCGGCCATTCCATAGATATTCACTGAGCATTCATATTATGCCAGGTAATAAATTAGGACCTGGGGTGACAAGTGCACAGACATGGTCCCCACCTTCAGAGGATCTACCTTTAGGCCTCTAGATCCCTTACCCAAATTGTGCTGACAGTATAAATTTGCACAGATGGAAAATTACATGTCAGTCACTTCTGTCAAGATCACAATTTCTAACATGAGTGGCATTTGCATTAAGGTGGATTTACTGTTCATCTGTATTTTCAGGACACTCAGGAAGCAAGCAAGGCTTTGGAATTAGAGCAGGGTTTCATGTAATCTTTATATTCTCTTGGTAAGAATGAAATTGATTAAATCTTTTTAAGGGAATGATATAGCACTATCTATTAACATTGTCATGTATATGCTTTGTGGCAGAAATATTCAGAAAAATACTTTTTAATTTTTTTTTTTTTGACATGGAGTCTTGCTCTGTTGCCTAGGCTGGAGTGCAGTGGCATGACCTTGGCTCACTGCAACCTCCACCTCCTGGGTTCAAGTGATTCCTGTTCTTCAGCCTCCCAAGTAGCTGTGATTACAGATGTGCACCACGACACCCAGCTCAGTTTTCTTGTTTGTTTGTTTTTGTTTTTTATATTTTTAGTAGAGATGGGTTTCACCATGTTTGCCGGGCTGGTCTTGAACCCCTGACCTCAAGTGATATGCCCGACTTGGCCTCCCAAAGTGCTGGGGATTACAGGAGGGAGCCACTGCGCCCAGGGTAATTTTTTTAAGAGACAGGGTCTTGTTCTGTCTCCCAAGCTGGAGTGCGGTGATGGGATCATAGCTCACTGTAGCCTCACTCAGCCTCACTGGGTTTGAGCAATCCTCTCACCTCAGCTTCCTGAGTAGCTGAGGCTACAGTTGTGAGCCACCATGTCTAATTATTAAAAATTTTTAAGGGATGGGGTTTCGCTTTGTTGGTCTTAAACTCCTGGCCTCAAGCAGTCCTCCCCTCCCACCTCAGCCTCCTGAGTAGCTGCGATTATAACCGCACAAAAAATAATTGTAACAAAATATTTCATTACCTACTGTTTTGAGTATTTAAAAACATAGAAACAACCCAAATATCCAAATATGTACAGAATTAAACATCGTCCAAGATATAGTATTAAGTGGTGGGCTGCGGGGGAGGGAAGTTATGATACTATTTGTATAATATAGCCTCACTTTTGTAATAAACAAGTAAAGTGTTGGTAGATACAGGTATGTTTGCAGATGCCTAGGGAAATAGATTTGCAAGACTAGACACTGAAGTATTCATAGTGAGATGAGATTTCAGGGCCCTTTTCATATCAGTGGGATCTACTTCTGTATTATCGGGGTTGTGAAAAATAAACGTGCAAGTTCCATGAGGGCAGGGGCTTTGTTTTGCTCACCGTAACCCCAGCACCTAGAAAAAGTACAGGCATGAAAAGTGCTGAATAAATGAATATTACTTTTCTTTAGGCTCACCGCAACCTCCGCCTCCTGGGTTCAAGCGATTCTTCTGCCTCAGCCTCCTGAGTAGCTGAGGCTACAGGCGCATGCGGCCACGCCCAGCTAATTTTCGTATTTTTAGTAGAGACGGGGTTTCACCATATTGGCCAGGCTGGTCTCAAACTCCCGACCTCGTGATCCACCAGCCTAGGCCTCCCAAAGTGCTGGGATTACAGGCTTGAGCCACCGCGCCCGGCCATGAATATTACTTTTTAAGTAAAAACCACAGAAATACTTAGACAAAGAGTGAAGGGCCCTTCCGTGATCCCAAGAGCTTGGTCTGTAGTTCTCTGATGCGCCTTTTACGTGGAGGCAAGTTCGTGTCCCAGGGGTCCCCAAGGCAGTCTCCAACCTCACCTCCACCTCTCTCCTTTCCAGAACGAGTGAGCTGGGGTTTGCTTTCTTCTCTATATCCTGCAGCTTGATCAACTTTTCTATCAGGAACATTTTATCTTTGCCTTCCTACCAAGAAGGAAAACAAAACCAGAAAGAAACAAAAACATGAATGAATGATGGTATGGAATTGAGAAAGCAATTGATGGGAAGAACGTCGATTTTCAGGCAGGTAGGGTCCTAGAAGTTGGATGGAGGTTGCTGCCATCTTTTGGTGAAAGAAAAGAAACATTTCACAGTAAAACCAAATTATCCCCCAGAGCCTTCCTGCACTGTAATATTCTCCTCTAAAGCAACTCCCCTAACAGGCTTGAGAAAGTAGCCTTCAGAAGTCTGCTGCTGGAAGCAACTTACATGCCACGTCTCAATAGCCAGGAAAAATGGTTTTCAGTATCCCCCATAGGCATGTGCCCCAGAGCGAGACTCCGTGTCAAAACAAACAAACAAAAAGATATATGTAGGATATGGAAAATATGAAACAGATGACCTGCACTCTTTAAGAATAAAAATAAAAGAGGAAGTGGGGAGGGGAGGTGGTAAATGGTTATAGAGTAAAAGAAAGTTAGGCATTTTGGCTGGGCGCGGTGGCTCACGCCTGTAATCCCAGCACTTTGGGAGGCTGAGGCGGGTGGATCACTTGAGGTCAGGAGTTTGAGACCAGTCTAGTTAACATGGTGAAACCCCATCTCTACTAAAAATACAAAAATTAGCTGGGCATGGTGGCACACACCTGTAATCCCAACTACTAAGAAGGCTGAGGCAGGAGAATCACTTGAACCTGAGAGGCAGAGGTTGCAGTGAGCCAAAATCATGCCACTGCCTTCCAGCCTGGGAGACACAGTGAGATTCTGTCTCAAAAAAAACAAAAAAAGAAAAGAAAGAAACAAAGGCACATCAACCAAATGCAACATGTACCCCCTTTTCAGATCCTGAATTGTACAGTTCTAGTATAAAAAGACACTTAAGGGGACAACTGGGAAAATGTAAACATTGGATACAAGATGATAATAATAAATTATTGGTAAGTTTTTTTTTAAGTATGATGATGATATTGTAGTTATGTTTTTTTAAAAGTCTTTATCTCAGCTGGATGTGGTGGCTCACGCCTGTAATCCCAGCACTTTGGGATGCCGAGGCGAGCAGATCACCTGAGGCTGGAAGTTTGAGACCAGCCTAACCAATGTGGAGAAATCCCATCTCTACTAAAAATACAAAATTAGCCGGGTGTGGTGGCATGTGCCTGCCATTCCAGCTACATGGGAGGCTGAGGCACAAGAATCGCTTGAACCCGGGAGGCAGAGGTTGCAGTGAGCCAAGATCGCTCCGCTGCACTCCAACATGGGCAACAAGAATGAAACTGTCTCAAAATAAATAAATAAAATAAAAGTCTTTATCTCATAGAGATGTACATAAAAGTTTTAATATATAAAAAATAATATAAAGCCTAAGATTTGCTTTAAAATAATCCGGGGAGCCAGGTGGAGTGGCATCTGCCTGAAATCTCAGCCACTCCGGAGGCTGAGTCAGGAGTTCAGGAATTTGAATCTAGCCAGGGCAACATAGCAAGACCCCCATCTCTAAAAAAATAAAATAAGGCTGGGTGTGGTGGCTCATGTCTGTAATCCCATCACTTTGGGAGGCAGGTGGATCACCTGAAGTCAGCAGTTCGAGACCAGTCTGGCCAACATAGTGAAACCCTGTCTCCAATAAAAATATAAAAATTAGCTGGGCGTAGTGGCAGGCACCTGTAATCCCAGCTACTTGGGAGACTGGGGCAGGAGAATCGCTTGAACCCTGGAGGTGGAAATTGCAGTGAGCCGAGATTGCGCCTCTGCACTCCAGCCTGGGCAACAAGAGCAAAACTCTGTCTCATAATAATAATAATAATAATAATTAATAAGAATAAAAATAAGAGATTTGCTGGGAAGAGAAAGTGTAGATGAAATAAGAATATAAAAACATTGATGGTTGTTAGGGCTGACGGCAGGGATATGAGAGTTCATTGTAGTATTCTCTTTACTTTGGAGGATGTTTGAAAGTATCCCTTATACAGCGTTTAAAAAGGATGACAGTGGACATCAGAGGGATGCAAGGGGACTTACATTAATGATCTGCTCATGGAGCAGCCTGATCATAATCTTCCTTCCCTCTGTGATCTGCCAGTAAAGATAGGTGATGATTCTGGAAGAGGAGAAAAGAAAGAATGACAGACACTCTTGCCAATGTTTTGCAGGCTCCGAATTTCCACTGGATGCAAAGGAACTGGAATCTGTGCTGCAGATGGATTTGGGCCCAAATGTGTTTTTGAAAACTCATGTCAGGGTGAGTTATAGTTTAAATACATTGGAACAATGGTTCTCAACCTGGTTGCTCATGGAATCACCTGGAAGGGGGAAATAAGCCCATGCCACAGCCCCTCTTCAGACCAATTAATTTAGCATCTCTGGGCATGTCATCTCCTTAAAAGGAGAACAGCAGGTATTGCTTTCTTAATAAAACAAGTTTTAAAAAATCCCTAAAACGACGGGGCGTGGTGGCTCATGCCTGTAATCCCAGCACTTTGGGAGGCCAAGGCAGGTGGATCACTTGGGGTCAGGAGATCGAGACCATCCTGGCTAACACGGTGAAAACCTGTCTCTACTAAAAATACAAAAAAATTAACCAAGCATGGTGGTGGGTGCCTGCAGTCTCAGCTACTCAGGAGGCTGAGGCAGGAGAATGGCATGAACCTGCGAGGCAGAGCTTGCTGTGTGCTGAGATCGCACCACTGCATTCCAGCCTGGGCGACAGAGTGAGACTCTGTCTCAAAAAATAAATAAATAAATAAATAAATTCCCTAAGCCAAGAAGATAGTCTATAATCTTTCCCCTCTTCCCCCATAGAAGAGGTCTTGCTCTGTTGCCCAGGCTGGAGTGCAGTGGCACGATCAGAGAACACAGAGATCAGCCTCAAACTCCTAGGCTCAAGCAATCCTCCCATCTCAACTTCCCAAGAAGCTCAGACTACAGGCACAAGCCACTGCAGCAGGCTAAATAACTTTTAAAAAAACTATCAAAGCAAGATCGGGCAAGGTGGCTAACACCTGTAATCCCAACACTTTGAGAGGCTGAGGCAGGAGGATAACTTGAGGCCAGGAGTTTGAGACCAGCCTGGACAACACAGGGAGCCCCATCTCTCAAAAAAATTTTAAAATTCGCCAAGTGTAGTGGTACACACCTGCAATCCCAGCTACTTGGGGGCTGAGGTGGGAGGATTGCTTGAGCCTGAAAAGGTTGAGGTTGCAGCAAGCCATGACCATGCCGCTGCAGTCCAGCCTGGGTGATAGATCATGACCCCATCTCAACCAAAAGAGAAAGGAAAGAAAGAGAAGGAAGGGAAGGGAAGGGGGAAAGAAGGAGAAAGAGAAAGCAAGAAAGCAAGAAAGGGAGAGAGAGAGAGGAAGAAAGAAACAAAAAGAAAGAAAGGAAGGAAGGAAGAGAGAGAGAGAAAGAAAGAAAAAGAAAGAAAGAAAGAAAGAAAGAAAGAAAGAAAGAAAGAAAGAAAGAAAGAAAGAGAGAGAAAGAAAGAAAAGAAAAGAGAATGTAAAGGGACAGAAAGGGAAAGGAACAGAAAGGGAAGGGAAAGGAACGGAAAGGAAGGGGAAGGGAGAAAGAGAGAGTGACGGAGGGAAGGAGGAAGGGGAAGGGAAGAGAAGAGAAAAGACGAAAAGGAAGGAAAGCAAGGAAGGGAGGAAGGGAAGAAGGAAGGAAGGAAGGAGGGAGGGAGGGAGGGAGGGAGGGAAGAAGGAAAACTACCTATGCAAGGGTAGAGTCACCCAGAACACTGAGCTATACTACAGCCATTTGCTTTCCAACCAAACATCCCCACTGCTGTTTCCCCCGAGAGCTCCTGGCTTTCCCTGTGAGATTCCCCAGATACCACACTCACAGCACAATGAGGGTGAGGATGAAAAAGAAGTGCACGCTTCCAATGAGGTTCTGATAGATCCAAACAACCCACAGGTAGCCAGGCCGTGTACTCAGGGTGTCGATCCAGCTGTAGATGGAGTGAATGAAGAAAGGCAGACCTCGAAAAGGACCACAGTCAGCTGAAGGCTTCAATCTGGTCAAACAAAGATGGAAGAACATCTCTAGCACAAGACTCAGGGATGGTTATTTTAGAATCAGGGTGTCCTTTCTGGGCTCTGGGCCTGAAAACATCAAGTCTTGCCTGATCCACTCACACCTGCTTCCCAAAGAAACCCTCTTGCTCACAGCCTTGCTGGGGTGACCTGCACTCCAAGGACCGGCTCTCAGATCAGAGGGATCACCTCACCCAACAGCAGCCAATCCAAAGGCCAGGCAGTGACTTCTGCAGTAACTTGGCTCAATGATATGAATGGGGGCAGTCAGACTCTTTTTCTTAAGAACTTGAATTAAGGCCAGGCACTATGGCTCATGCCTCTAATCCCAACAGTGTGGGAAGCCAAGATGGGAGGATTGTTTGAGCCCAGAAGTTCAAGACCAGCCTGGGCAACATAGTGAGACTCCGTCTCTACAAAAAAATAAAGAATTAGCTGGGCATGGCAGCACATGCCTGTGGTCCTGGCTACATAGGAGGCTGAGGTGGGAGGATCGCTTGAGCCCAGGAGGTTGAAGCTATAGTGAGCTGTGATCACGCCACTGTACTGCAGACTGGGCAACAGAGCAAGACGCTGTCTAAAAAAGAACTTGAATTAAAGCCAAGTATGGTGGCTCGCCTGCAATTCCAGCACTTTGAGAGGCCAAGGCAGGAGGATCACTTGAGGCCAAGAGTTCAAGACCAGCCTAGGCAACATAGTGAGACCCCCATTTCTAAATAATAATAATAATAATAATAATAATTAGCCAGGCATGGTGATGTGTGCCTATAGTCCCAGCTACTTCGGAGGCTGAGGTGGGAGAATCACTTGAGCCCATGAGTTTGAGCTATGATTGTGCCGCTGCACTGCAGCCTGGGTGATAGAGCAAGGCCCTGTCTCAAAGAAAGAAATTGAATGAAGAAGCATAAAGAGGGAAGCCTGTTAGCTATGGAGGAATGAGCAGAAACTATAGGGCAACAAGGAACTGGTGGGGAAGAGAGAGAAGAGAGTGGATATGCCAAGAGGAGCAAGAATGTTGTGGAGTAAGGAACTGAGGGCCCCAGTTTCATGGGTGTCCTAAAAATCATCTCCCTTGTTCATCAACCATGGTTTATTCTGTTAAGCACTATTCTAGTCAGGCTCTGGGGACTTCACATTAAGCAAGTTCCTGCCCTATTGGGCTTACGTTCTGGTGGGAAAAATGGACAATCGTTGAGTAACAATTAAACAAAGACTCACACAGAGGCATTCCTGATTATGAATGATGGAATGAAGGAAAGAAACTCAGGCCCGAGAGAGAGAAGCAGTGGGGAACTGAGAGCAGACAAGGAGGGCTGTGAAGGTCAGATCTTGGAGAGGACCTTGGAGCTGAGAATCAGAGGGTGGAGAGGAGGCAGCCAAGCAAAGGGAGTGGGGAGAGGACTTCACTCAGAGGACTCTGCCCATGTTGGGAGGGGCTTGCTGGCTTCCAGGAATGGGGTGAGGGCGGTGGGGTAGGGTACAGTGGAGCCAAAGGGAGGTGGGGTTGTAGAGGTGGGAGGAGCCGGGTCCATCCTGCCTTTCTGTTAATTTAGATGAAGTTCTGTTCCGGATGTGGAGGAACAGGGTGCGGGGGCATCTCCCCATTCTGGGAAGCTTCAGTTCTTGGCAGAAGTGAGAAAGCTACTCCTGACTATGGCTGTCAGATGCGTGGTGATCAAACGAGGATGTATTCCTTCCCTGGCTTTTAGTGTCTGTTGGTTAGCCAGGGAACTTAGGTTAGACACTGTATTAAGCATGTCTTTTTATTCTGATGTTTTAACATCTGGGGTCTTACTGATTCCAGCTTCCTGGGCTAGCTGCCCTTCCTTGGGCTAGCTTACAAAGCCCACCTTTCAAATGCAAACCAACCGATTCAGATCCCACACCCCCAACCGCCCCCTTTATCAGGCTCTCACATCTGGGCCACCACTCCCCTGCCCTAATCACCCCAGGGCCAAGTGCCAGACAACTGAGGGCAGATCCACATCCCATAGCCTACTGACAAACCAGCCAACCCTAAACCTGCTTCCCCTGCCTTGCCCATTCCTTACCATAGAAAACCACAAGAAAGGCTCTAGCCCACGTTTCCCCTCACTCCCTCTGCCTCCTGACCTACCCCGATGCTTCCCTCTGTGGTCCTTTGTGGCACAGAGTGCCTCCCCCTTCTCAGGAACTGTGAGTAATAAACTATCTTTCTAGTGGTGGTCATTCCTGACCTGTTGGGCTTCACCACACCTAGATTATTTATTTATTTATTTATTTATTTATTTATTTATTTATTTATTTATTGAGACAGAGTCTCACTCTGTCGCCCAGGCTAGAGCGCAATGGTGCAATCTCGGCTCACTGCAACCTCCACCTCCCGGGTTCAAGCGATTCTCCTGCCTCAGCCTCCTGAGCAGCTGGGATCACAGGCATGCACCACCACGCCTGGCTAATTTTTGTATTTTTAATAGAGATGAGTTCACCATGTTGGCCAGGCTCATCTTGAACTCCTGGCCTCAAGTGATCCACCCGCTTCGGCCTCCCATAGTGCTGGGATTATAGGCGTGAGCCACTGCGCCCAGCCTCACCACACCTGAATTGTAATAAAACCTACATTTTAAAACACACACCCATCCACCCAGTCTCTAAAACCTCCCCCAAGGCCACCTTCTCCTACCTCCCCCAAGGCCACCTTCTCCTACCTCCAGATGGTGATGGCCAAGGTGCACAAGACCCCGGTGAAGGATGGGAAAAAGAGCAAGAGGATGAAGAAAGTCATCATCTGTGAGGCCCGCCAGGCTTTGCTCGGAGGCTGGAAATTCATCATCAGGCTGATCTGAAGAGAGAGAGGCAGCCACCTCCCATCTGCAGCCAGAGCAGCAGCAGAGGGACCCCAGCCAGGCCCAGCTTCCTGAGACCTTTGCAGAGCCCCCTTCCCCAGCTTTAAGCGCCACCAGGTCACAGGCGACTGAACAAAGCTAACTGATGGCAACGTCGGACTGACTCACGTTTTTGGCGTAGAACATGATGAAAAGCATAATCATTTGGATAAGGGGCAGCAGGGGGCAGAAGAAGATTCCAATCCTGCGAGGGAGAGAAGGTGAGTGTCAGAGGCCGGGGGAGACAAAAGGAGTCGAGGTGAATCTGGGATGCTTGGAAGGAAGAGAAAGAGGATGTTGTGGCCTGGATTGTGTGTCCCCAAAATCCATATATTGAGGCCTTAACCCCCAATATCTCAGAACGTGACTGTATTTGGAGACAGGGCCTTGGAGAGGTGCTTAAGGTAGAACGAGATCACAGTAGGAGACCCTAATCCAGTACAACTGGTGACCCTAAAAGAAGAGATTAGGAGGCCAGGAATGCTGGCTCACGCCTGTAATCCCAGAACTTTGGGAGGCCAAGGTGGGTGAATCACCTGAGGTCAGGAATCCGAGACCAGCCTGGCCAACATGGTGAAACCCCATCTCTACTAAAAATACAAAAATTAGCCAGGCATGATGGCGCATGCTTGTAATCTCAGCTACTTGAGAAGCTGAGGCAGGAGAATCGCTTGAACCTGGGAGGCGGAGGTTGCAGTGAGCCGAGATTGTGCCATTGCACTCCAGCCTGGGCAACAGAGCAAGACTCCATCTCAACAACAAAAAAAGAAGAGAGTAGGACATAGACACACAGAGAAACGAAGACCATGTAAAGACATGGGGAGAAGATGGCCGTCTATAAACCAAGGAAAGAGGCTTGAGACAGATCCCTCCCTTATGACCCTCAGAAGAAACCAACGCCACCGGCATCTTGATCTTGGCCTTCTGGCCTCCAGAACTGTGAGATATGAAATTGCTGTTGTTTAAGCCACTCAGTGTGTGGGACTTTGTTATGGTAGCTCCAGCCAACTAATACAGAGGGGGCCTGCTTCCATCCCAGCAAATGAGGTAGATTCCCACCATACCCAGTATCCTCAGCTGCCTTCTTCCCAGCTCTGAAAAGGAGATTTTATAGAGAAATCACCCATCCACCTACTAAACCAACAGACGGTATTCAGCATGCCCTAAGCTAGCGTGTCCCAAATTTAGGGCATACCCTATGCTTTCCCCGCCTTTTTCTTCCTCCCCCATGGTATTCAAGTTCTGAGGTTCTGTAGGGACAAGGCATTGAACAGCGCTGAGTTCCAAATGAGAAAGGCATTCCCTTTCCAACTCTCCTGCAGTGGTCGTGAGCAACAAAAGGAGAAAATCTCAGTGTGGTTCTAGAATGCTGTAACTCCTAACACATGCCAATCTCCCATTTTTTAACAAAAAAGGAGTAGGCTTTGGGCTGAGAGCCTTGGCAAACAGTAACATCTCGCTAGAATTTAGTGACATTTTGGAATGGGATTGCTTTTATTTTTCCAGTTATTTGCGATTTCTATCAAATGGCACTGGTTTTCCATTTATGTCATAAATAAAGACTCCCTTAAAAATGTACGTGAGAGGCCAGGCACAGTGACTCACGCCTGTAATCCCATCACTTTTGGAGACTGAAGCGGGCAGATCACCTGAGGTCAGGAGTTCGAAACCAGCCTGGCCAACATGGCAAAACCCCTGTCTCTACTAAAAATACAAAAATTAGCTGAGCGTGGTGCCAGGCGCCTGATGTTTTGACATCTAGAGTCTTACTGACCCCAGGAAGACTGCCGATGTTGGGAAAAGCAGTCTGGCCATTTACAAAGGCCTTTCTTCCACATCATTTCAACTAGGATGCCATTGGGCAAGTTACTTAAACTCTCTCTAAACCTTAGTTTTCTAATCTTTATATGGTGGACATACTAGTACCTATTCACAGGGTTTTTTGACAGGAATAAATGGGCATAGTGGCTCACTCCTGTTATCTCAGCACTTTGGGAGGCTGATGAAAAGCAGTTATCATCTACCATGACTTTAAAAAAAAATGTATTTGAGTAAAAAAAAAAAAGGCAAATGATAAAAAAAAATTAAGTAGATAATAGCACATCTACTTAAAAAATAAGGCAAATGATAAAAAAAAATTAAGTAGATAATAGCACATAAAATTAAGTAGATATAACATCACTATACCAAAGATTAGGCAGGCTGGTGTACAATAGACTAAAACTTGGGAAACATGTTCCTCACTTCATCTCTATCACTGTCCCTAACATATATCCTTTTCTGTCATTATGTTATCTTCTTGTAAAACTCATCATCACAGGCAATATTCTCCTAAAACCCACAAAGGTTAGAACTGTTAATAACCGTGGAAAAAAAGAACAGATACGTGTTTCTGATTGTGCTTATTCATGATTTAGCAACAAAAATCTCAAAGGCCCAGAAGTCATAATGGTAATTTCTTTTTTTTTCTTTTTGAGACGGAGTGTCGCTCTATCTCCCAGGCTGGAGTGCAGTGGCATGATCTCGGCTGACTACAACCTCCGCCTCCCTGGTTCAAGTGATTCTCCTGCCTCAGCTTCTCTAGTAGCTGAGATTACAGGCGTCTGCTACCACAGCTGCCTAATTTGTATTTTTTAGTAGAGTCAGGGTTTCACCATGTTGGCCAGGCTGGTCTCGAACTCCTGACCTCAAGTGATCTGCTCACCTCGGCCTCCTAAAGTTCTGGGGTTACAGGTGTGAGCCACCATGCCTATTTAATCACCTCGAAAACACTGTGAGTAGGTGTCTCTACCATTTAAAGATTAAAAAACTAAGGTTTAGAGAGAGTTTTAGTAACTTGCCCAGTGGCGTCCTAGTTGAAATAATGTGGAAGAAAGGATTTTGTAAACTGCCAAATTGCCAGCAGGTGATCTAGCAGCATGCAAACACATCACTTATTAAACTACCAAAGAAAGGTCCTCACTGTGTCTAAAAAATAAACTCATTAACTTTGAGTTATTTGCAGACAGTCAAATCACCCAGGGCAACTTTAAAGAGTCAGAAAATAAAACACTCTCCCGTTGTATGATATATTGGTGTTTGCAAAGCAGTTTTCATCTACCATGGCATTTAATCCTCAACATGATTCAAAGGCAACTATTCTTTTTTCTTTTCTTTTTTTTTTTTTTTTTTGAGACAAAGTTTCATTCTTGTCACCCAGGCTGGAGCGCAATGGCATGATCTCTGTTCACTGCAGCCTCTACCTCCCAGGTTCAAGTGATTCTTCTGCCTCAGCCTCCCAAGTAGCCAGGATTACAGGCACGCACAACCACGCCTGGCTAACTTTTGCGTGTATTTTAGTAGAGACGGGGTTTTGCCATGTTGGCCAGGTTGGCCTCGAACTCCTGGCCTCAGGTGATCTGGCCTCCCAAAGTGCTGGGATTACAGGCATGAGCCACCGCTCTGGCCTTTTTTTTTTTTTTTTGAGACAGAGTTTCACTCTTGTTGCTCAGGCTGGAGTACCATGGCACGATCTTGGCTCACTGCAACCTCCGCCTCCCGGGTTCAAGCGATTCTCATGTCTCAGTCTCCCGAGTAGCTGGGATTACAGGCATGTGCCACCATTCACGGCTAATTTTGTATTTTTAGTAGAATGTTGGTCAGGCTGGTCTTGAACTCCTGACCTTAGGTGATCCGCCCGCCTCAGCCTCCCAAAGTGCTGGGATTACAGGCTTGAGCCACCACACCTGGCCTTAAAGGCAGCCATTCGTATATGCATTTACAGATGAGTCTGAGGCTCAGACAAGCACAGTGATCTCCATGAGTGGCAGAGCCAGCCTCAGAATTCAGTTTATCCTGTTTCAAATCCAATACTTTCAAATTAGCAACACCCCATCAGATGGAACCTGGGAATGTGATTCACCATACAGAATTCCGGCATTAACTGCATCATGTTAAAATAAATAAGGAAAAGTAAGGCAGGAAGATTGCTTGAGCCCAGGAGGTTGAGGCTGCAGTGAGCCATGATCATGCCACCGCACTCCAGCCTGAGCAACAGAGTGAGACCCTGTCTCAAAAATAAATAAATAGGCTGAGCATGGTGACTCACACCTATAGGTGGCCTCCAGGCCTCCAGGTTGGGATCCCTGCTCTATGCTGATTCTTGTCTGAAGTCCTTAAGCTCTCATAAAGGAAAATGGTAGTCTAAATGTTAAATTCATGGTTCTCAGACTGGCTAGATGGGGTATCACCCATGCAGCTTTAAAAACAACAGATTCTGGGACTTTGCCACCAAAACACCAACTCCACAGTCATGTGGGAACCACTGGGCATTTTGCTGAGTCACAAAACTTACCACACCAGAGTTTGTGCATAGATCAGTTCTAGAACGTTCCTGGCAATGTCAAACTCCGGAAGGCCAAGACTTGTGATCAGCTGCATCCCAATGATCCTGTGAAAACATACTGAGTTTAGTACCCAAACCATAACTCCCACTTTCAGAAGATCCCCCACAGACTAGGACAATCAAAAGAGACCCTCACCAGCTTAAAATAAAGTCATAAGTTCCCTTGAAACTTTTTCAACAGTTCTAAATCTATAAGCATGTTTTTGAAGAAGTAATTGAAGGGATTGAGGGAAAACTAATTTAACACAATGCAGTCAAGTGGGGGTACTGCTAAAGTGGTTTAAAAAGTTCTAGAGAACATTTGTTACCCTGAACATTTAAATTATCCCACTATTATCTTATACCCCTCTTTGCTAATTAAAGCTTCTTTTCTCATGAACCGGATAAACTCAGCACCTCTCAACTCAAACATTTTTACATTTTTGGTTGCTGCTATCAAATTAATTATGTTTCCCTGTGTTCTAAATCCACAAGAAGGAAATCAAGTTTCCATTTACTCTGGGGAAACTTGATTCCATATTAATTTATTCATAAAGAGGAGTTGCCAATTAAAAAAAAGTTCTGTCAAAAAAAACCTCTTCACCTTTTTTTTTTTTTTTGAGATGGAGTCTTGCTATGTCACCCAGCGTGGAGTGTAGTGGCGCAATCTCAGCTCACTGCAACCTCCACCTCCCGCGTTCAAGCGATTCTCCTGCCTCAGCCTCCCAAGTAGTTGGCATTACAGGCACGCACCACCACGCTCAGCTTATTTTTGTATTCTTAGTAGAGATGGGGTTTTACCACATTGACCAGGCTTCTCTTGAACTCCTGACCTCAGCTGATTCACCCGCCTTGGCCTCCCAAAGTGTCGGGATTATAGGCATGAGTCACTGCACCCAGCCAAACCTTTTCACCTTTATGTCCAGGCCCTCAACAGAGGCTAGAATAAAAGCACATTTTGGCAAAAACGAATGAGGAAATTTGGCATTGAATCTACCCACTGATAAAATAATCAACATCAGATCATCTATTTATTTATTTTTTTTGAGACGGAGTCTTGCTCTGTCGCCCAGGCTGGAGTACAGTGGCCGGATCTCAGCTCACTGCAAGCTCCGCCTCCCGGGTTTACGCATCTGCTCCTGCCTCAGCCTCCTCGAGTAGCTGGACTACAGGCGCCACCAGCCGCGCCCAGCTAATTTTTTGTATTTTTAGTAGGACGGGGTTTCACCGTGTTCAGCCAGGAGGTCTCGATCTCCTGACCTTGTGATCCCGCCCGTCTCGGGGCCTCCAAAGTGCTGGGATTCAGCTTGAGCCACCGGCGCCGGGCCAGATCATATTTATCTGATGGCTCAGAACCATCTTATTATAAGAACAGGGCTGCGGAAACACATAAATGTCTATAAGGACATGAGAGGCTCATTAATATTATTAAAAAAAAGATTATCTAAAATTTAAGAAAACCAGACATCCGGACGACCCACTGACGTCTTCATTCTGTATATATTGAGTATCCTAATATAAAATTAGTAGCCATCTAGATGCATAATTAACAATGAGAAAATCGTACATTTGCGAATCTGACAGCGATCTGTTAAGGCGAGAGCAGTATTAGTGGCAGCTCATCTATGAGCTCAGAGATCGTTACAATATTGTTGCAGGTGAGTGGGAGATCCAGATACTCTATTTGTCTTATTATGAGAAAACTCAAGTAGCATTATACAGAAGAACACAACAGAAAATGGTGCATAGAAAAATCTGAGAATATGATACTAGAATCATTAAAATAATCTATAGTGGATAAGATTTCTTTTTTTTTTTTTTTTGAAGACAGAGTCTCGCTGCTGTCCGCAGGCAGGAGTGCAGTGGCCGGATCTCTGGCTCAGCTGCAAGCTCCGCCTCCTGTGTTACGCGCATTCACTCACTCTCAGCCGTCCGAGTAGCTGGACCTACAGGTGGCCTGCCACTCGCGCTGGCTAGTTTTTTGTATTTTTTTGTTTTTTAGTAGAGACGGGCGTTTCACTGTGATCAGGATGGTTTTTGATCTCCTGACCTCGTGATTCGCCCGTTCTCGGCTCCCAATAGTGCTGGGATACAGGCTTGAGCCACCGCGACCCGCCCAGATTTTCTTTTTCTTCTTTTCTTTCTTGCCTTCTTCTTCTTCTTCTTCTTCTCCTTACGTGTTTTTTTTTTTTTTTTTTTTTGAGACAGAATCTCCCTATTTTGCCCAGGCTAGTCTTAAACTCCTGGCCTCAAGTGATCCTCCTGCCTCGGTCTCCCAAAGTGCTGGGATTATAGGCGTGAGCCACTGCCCTCGGCTGGATAGGATTTCAAATGGCTCAGTTTCTGTCTTTTATTTCTAGAATTTGTTTTCAAAAGGTTGTAAAAGGTCAACTGAACCAAGCGAACTATGACAACAGAACTGTCAGGTTAAGGTGAAATTTTAGCTAATTTAGAAGTGAACAGTATCCCCAAGGACAACAGGCAGACTTGGAACAATGCACGCTTTGAGTATGTCAGGGACCTGTACATCCCACTCAGCCAGGAATCAGGTTCTGGTTACAGCATCGGGCACTAATTACTTAAGAATGACAAATATTTACCTCCTCAGAAACTCTCCCAGGAAGGAATCGGCTAAAGAGAACACAAAATCCATCAGAAGGAGACGGTAGATGTCCTGGCCAATGAGAGTTTCCCAACACTGGAAGGCAAACAAGAGTCCGGATGTGGGAAGGGGCTGTGGCCTCAGCCCAATTCTCCTCTGTTCCTGGCTGTATGTACCCATTAGGACATAGCTAATGGTTGGGTTTGACCAAGTCCTTGTGTACTCAAAAAAGTAGATCCACTCTGAAAATATGCAGCTGAGTTTGTTTTCAAGGGTGTTGATCTCTTTTGGGTTTCCTTCTTCCCCTGTTTAAAGCTTGCCTTCCACACATACCCAAACTTTCCCAGTTCGTGATCTCTCCCCGTAAAACTTTTCATCCCTGCCCTATCCCCTCTGGATCCCATTTCTCAGCCAAGGGTAATCAGTTTCTTCAAGAGAGCAGGAAGTGCCAATGGCTAAGAATGCCTTCACTCTTTTTGCTTATTGACCTTACAAAAAATCAATTAATGTCTGCTTGATTAAGAAAGTGGCCTAGAGGTTTAGTAGGCTAGTGTAAACTGGAAGCTCAGATTAGTCAGTTTATAAAAGTAGTGGCTAGGAACTTCTGCAGGAAGTCAGTGCTATCAGCTGATAGACTGGGAGCTTTTAGATTTGGCTGGAGGATAGGAAACTTTTGGGTACATGGCCCAAAGATGGATGAATGATGGATGGGTAAATGGATAGATGGATATACAGATGGATGGATGAATAGATGGCTGGATGAATACATGAATTGATAGATGGATGCATGCATGAATGAATACATGGATGAATAAATGGATGGATGGTTAGATAAATGGATGGATTAATACATGAATGAATAGATAAATATATATATGGATTAATGGATGGATGGATAAATGGATAAGTGGATGGATGTATGAATGGATGGATAGATGGATACATGGATGGACAGATGAATACATGGATGGATGTATAGATGCACGGATGGATAAATGAATGATAGAGGGATGATGGATGGAATGGATGGATGCATGAATGGATGAATGCACGGAAGAAGAATATGGTATCTGCTATGACCATACTAACTTGCAGGGCTGATTTTGATTCTCTTCGACAATTACGGAGAGAAGTTGAGGGTGCCATGTTCATGTGAAATAGTTTGAATCTAGACACAGTAGAGCTATTTTAGAGCCCAGGAATAATGGGTGACAGAGAAATAAAGAGAGGCTCCTGATTCCCTGACTCTACTTCCAACCCCAGGGCATCCTGGGTATCTGAGGGCTCATGATGACCATCAGCTAAGGATTACTGTGTAATGTGAAGGCACATTATCATGGGGGATGCAGTAGCAGGGGCAGAGGCATCCCAATGAGAAGGTCAGGGAAGTTGGCTTGTTCCTAAATCCATATGGGACACTACCCTCAGGCACCCATTCTCTGAGGTTAGTGAAGACTAGAAACTGTAGTCAAGTGAAGGAGGGCCAGGAACAGTCAGCATTAGGACATAATTGTTACTGCCAGCATTTATGAGTTTACAGATTGGTAAAGTCCAGGGTGTCTAGGTTACAGGAAAAATAGAACATCAAGGATCAAAAAGGATTTTGTCCAACCCCAAGGCTGTTAGGACAGACTAGCGCTAAAATTACTAGCGTCCACTGCATATGCTGGGCACTGAATTTACACTACATATTATATTGTTTAATCCCAATTTTACAGATAAGAAAACTGAGGGTCAAAGAGATTAAGTGACTCGGCAGATGACACAGCACAGCTGGCCTTCGAGTCTTCTCCTCCTGACTCTAGAACCTGAGCTTTTTTTGTTGAGACCCATTTTGCCTTATGTTGCTTTCCAGATTAGTTTTCATTCTCTTCCCACAAAGGATTAATACCAAATACGGAGTGTGATGGCTCTTGAGAAACCCATGTCCTCCCTGTTGGTCAAATGCCAAGAAACTAAACTTAAGGCAGAGAAGCTTAGAATCTCACCTCTTCACCAGACAGGGCCACGTTGTTGAGCCAATAGTAACAAAGAATGCCAACGATTGATATTTTCAAAAGGATGTTTCTAAACAGAAGAGACAACATTTATGATTACTTTCAATAACTGTCTTTCACACTGTCTGCCAATAGTTCCTTTGGGGCACATGGTAAGATCGAAATTCCTGGCCCTTGTGGTTGGAGGGGGTTCTGGTGAATGAATTGTGAGCAGAAGCAATGTGTGTCACTTCTAAGCTGGAGCACTTAATGCCCCTGTGAGACCCTCCAGAACTCCCCATCTTCCTTTTGGAAAGGCGATCAACGATATTCAAGATGATTGCCGCTCTGTCAGCCTAGATCCCTCAGTGACTGACATAGGAAGGTCACTCCTGCCAATCCACACTGTGTACGTAACATGGGTAAGAAATAAACCTTTGTGTTCTAAACCACTGAGATTTGGAGGATTGTTACTGAACTATAACCTAATTTATTCTGACTGATACGTTCTCTTTTGTTGCATCTCCAAATGGTCTGATTTCACTTCCCATTATAATAATAGTAAATGTACATAATGTTTATTGGGTGCTGACACAGCATACACTGCCAAGCTCTTTATTGAATCATCCTCCTCAGTCTTTACAACTCCATCATCTAGTAGATAGTATTTTATGCCCATCATACTCAGTATGCAAGGTTATGGGGTGCAGTGAGACCTAATATTTCCCCTTCTATATGTACTTTAAAAAGTGGCAACATGGATCAGTGGGTGAGATGTGGGGAATAATGAGGGCATAGGAATATGGTCAGAGTTTTCTTTCCCCTTCCTTCCTTCCCTCCCTCCCTCCCTCCCTTCTTTCCTTCCTTACTTCCTTCCTCCTTCCCTCCCTCCCTCTCTCTCTCTTTCTTTCTTTCCTTTCTTTCTTTCCCTCCTTCCTTTCCTTCCTTCCTTCCTTCCTTCCTTCCTCCACATATTATATTGTTTAATCCCAATTTTACAGATAAGAAAACTGAGGATCAAAGAGATTAAGTGACTCGGCAGATGACACAGCACAGCTGGCCTTCGAGTCTTCTCCTCCTGACTCTAGAACCTGAGCTTTTTTTGTTGAGACCCATTTTGCCTTATGTTGCTTTCCAGATTAGTTTTCATTCTCTTCCCACAAAGGATTAATACCAAATACGGAGTGTGATGGCTCTTGAGAAACCCATGTCCTCCCTGTTGGTCAAATGCCAAGAAACTAAACTTAAGGCAGAGAAGCTTAGAATCTCACCTCTTCACCAGACAGGGCCACGTTGTTGAGCCAATAGTAACAAAGAATGCCAACGATTGATATTTTCAAAAGGATGTTTCTAAACAGAAGAGACAACATTTATGATTACTTTCAATAACAGTCTTTCACACTGTCTGCCAATAGTTCCTTTGGGGCACATGGTAAGATCGAAATTCCTGGCCCTTGTGGTTGGAGGGGGTTCTGGTGAATGAATTGTGAGCAGAAGCAATGTGTGTCACTTCTAAGCTGGAGCACTTAATGCCCCTGTGAGACCCTCCAGAACTCCCCATCTTCCTTTTGGAAAGGCGATCAACGATATTCAAGATGATTGCCGCTCTGTCAGCCTAGATCCCTCAGTGACTGACATAGGAAGGTCACTCCTGCCAATCCACACTGTGTACGTAACATGGGTAAGAAATAAACCTTTGTGTTCTAAACCACTGAGATTTGGAGGATTGTTACTGAACTATAACCTAATTTATTCTGACTGATACGTTCTCTTTTGTTGCATCTCCAAATGGTCTGATTTCACTTCCCATTATAATAATAGTAAATGTACATAATGTTTATTGGGTGCTGACACAGCATACACTGCCAAGCTCTTTATTGAATCATCCTCCTCAGTCTTTACAACTCCATCATCTAGTAGATAGTATTTTATGCCCATCATACTCAGTATGCAAGGTTATGGGGTGCAGTGAGACCTAATATTTCCCCTTCTATATGTACTTTAAAAAGTGGCAACATGGATCAGTGGGTGAGATGTGGGGAATAATGAGGGCATAGGAATATGGTCAGAGTTTTCTTTCCCCTTCCTTCCTTCCCTCCCTCCCTCCCTCCCTTCTTTCCTTCCTTACTTCCTTCCTCCTTCCCTCCCTCCCTCTCTCTCTCTTTCTTTCTTTCCCTCCTTCCTTCCCTTCCTTCCTTCCTTCCTTCCTTCCTTCCTTCCTTCCTTCCTTCCTTCCTTCCTTCCTCCCTCCCTCCCTCCCTCCTTTCTTTCTCTCTCTCTTTCTTTCTCTCTCTCTCTCTTTCTCTCTCTCTTTGAGACAGGGTCTCATTCTGTTACCCAAACTGGAGTGCAGTGGTGTGGTCATGGCTCACTGCAGCTTTGACTTCCCAGGCTCAAGCACTTCTCCCACCTCAGCCACCTGAGTAGCTGGGACTACAGGCGCAATCAACCATGCCTGACTAATTTTTAAATTTTTTGTAGAGATGGAGTCTCACCATGTTGCCCAGGCTGGTCTTGGACTCCTGGACTCAAGCAATCCTCCCACCTTGGCCACAATCCAAAGTGCTAGGATTACAGGCATGAACCACTGCACCTGTCTGGAATTTTCATAATATGGATTGGGTATAATCAACTGACTGACCGAATTGCTCATTCATTCACCAACCATTCTTGAACACGTATGATATCCCAGGCACTGTGAACAAAGCAAAGATTTCCCCATAAACTGTGGGGGAGGAAGATACTGAAGAAATAAATACGAATACGTCAGGAAGTGGTAAGAAAATTATACTGCAGAAAGCGAGCTGAGATCGTGCCACCGCACTCCAGCCTGGGCGACAGAGTGAGACTCCATCTTAAAAAAAAAAAGAAAGAGAAAATTATACTGCAGAGGAGAAAAGGTGGTAGGGAGCTGTTATTTTTAATGGGATATGTAAGGAAGAGTGCAACGTGAGGGTGATGTTTGAAGAATGCAAAATGCATTCAGGAAGCAAGCCATGTGGTCATGTGTGGGAAGAACATTCCAGGCCCATGCAAAGGGCAAAGGTCCAGAAGTGGGAATATGGTTTGGCATGTTTGTGAATGCTTAGGAGGCCTGTGACGGGGACAGGCAGTGAGCAAGAAGGACAGGGGGAGAAAATGAAGCTGGAGCGCTGGCTGGGAGCCAGATCTCACAGACCATGGTAAGGCAAGGGCTATGGAACTGATCAGCAAAGAAACCCAGTCTGCATTGTACAGACCTATACTTTTTTTTTTTTTTTTTGAGACGGAGTCTCCCTCTGTCACCCAGGCTGGAGTGCAGTGGCACGATCTCGGTTCACTGCAACCTCCGCCTCCCAGGTTCAAGCAATTTTCCCGCCTCAGCCTCTCGAGTAGCTGGGATTACAGACGTGCGTCAGCACGCCCAGCTAATTTTTGTATTTTTATTAGAGACGGGGTTTCGCCATGTTGGCCAGGCTGGTTTCAAACTCCTGACCTCAGGTGATCCACCTGCCTTGGCCTCCCAAATTGCTGGGATTACAGGCATCAGCCACCGCACCTGGCCTACAGATCTATACTTATAAACCCCACCATAACCAGGAAGAAGTCAGGGAAGAAACTAGAAGGACAAAATTTGGGTAGTTCCAGGCTTTGTGTATCAAAACTCTGGGATCACTTCTAGCACATATGATGCCTTTGTGGGAATCACAAAAAGGCACCCTGTGGGTGCCAGTGAGTTGCCCAAAGCACTCCTCCCACCTTTGTTTGGGTGGTGGAATTACAAAAATGCGCCTCTTCCTCCCATCTGAGGCAGTACGTACCAGGACTCACAGCTTGACTAAGGGGAACGCTGGATGATTTCAGTCCCCTCCTCAGCCCAGGAGCCTTTGTGTGTGCACTGCCTGCCCATCTGTACATCCCATACTTGAGAACTACATCAATCCACCGCTGGTAGCAATCAGGAAATCAATCAAGCCATGACTTTGAGCAAAAGCCCACACCACACAAACACACTTCGCTCTTTTGTTGTTAAGACAGGGTCTTGCCCTGTCGCACAGGCTGGAGTGCAGTGGTGCAATCATAGGTAACCTCAGACTCCTGGGATCAAGTGATCCTCTCACCTCAGCCTCCTGAGTAGCTGGCACTAACAGGTACATGCTACTGCATCCAGCTGACTTTTTGTAGAACCAGCATCCGGCTATGTTGCCCAGGCTGTTCTCGAACTCCTGGTCTCAAGTGATCCTCCCCTCTCAGCCTCCCAAAGTGCCGGGATTACTGGCATGAGCCACCATGCCCAGCCACATTTTACTTTTGAAATTCCTTCTTTCTGGAGAACAAAACTTTGATACTAAAGCATAATCTTTTCTAGCTACCATCCCATTTCTCTCCATGGAAATAGAGGCTGGTGTTGGGCACGACAGATCACCTACCGGATCAGGAGAATGTAGACTTCGTGCCGCGGCATCTCGTACCTCTCCATGAGCCTGAACATGGAGTAGAAGCACGGCACGGCCAGATTAATGCAGGACACAACAAAAGGCAGTAACAGCACCGCTCCAGGGTTACTGTGCGTCTTCAGGAACTGCAGGGGATCGGGGAGAGAATGGAGGGCTGACTTGTACACCGTACCCCTTTCTGCCTCACCCAAAAGTCTCCCATGATAGAAAACCTGAGAAGTAGCTCCTCTGGGGTTAACTATTCAGCTATTTATTTATTTTAATTGTTTTGAGATGGAGTCGCACTCTGTTGCCCAGGCTGGAGTGCAGTGGCGCGATCTCAGCTCACTGCTACTTCCACCTCCTCAGTTCAAGCAATTCTCCTGCCTCAGTCTCCAGACTAGCTGGGATTACAGGCACGCACCACCACACCCAGCTAATTTTTGTATTTTCAGTAGAGATGGAGTTTCCCCATGTTGGCCAGGCTGGTCTCGAACTCCCAACCTCAGGTGATCCATCCACCTCGGCCTCCCAAGGTGTTGGGATTGCAGGGATGAGCCACCACACCTGGCTAGGTTAACTGTTTTAGTAACTGTTTTAGCTAGGTACCATTAATTTGCTTACCCCGTGCCAAGCAAACTGAGGCTCAGGGAGGGGAAGACACTTATCCAGGGTCACCTAGCAAGGAAGTGGCAGATTGGAGCCTAGGTGGGTCTCACTCAGGAGCCTGAGCTCAAACAGTCATTCTGTGGCTTTCTCTTTTTTACCAAGATGCCCAGGGCAATGAGGATGTGCTCCCGTCTGTTGACCATAAACTGAGTCTCCTGAAGCTACAGCCTAAGGGGATCAATCACCGTGGAATTTCTCCTTGCCTCTCCTGTGTGGCCTTGTTCATTTTCACCAGGCTTCACCTGTCTCTGAGTTCCGAATTAGGGGGGTTGGGGTGCTTCTGCTAGCCTGTGCTGCACATTTTTCTTTCTTTGGAGACAGAGTCTCGCTCTGTTGCCCAGGCTGGAGTGCAGTGGCATGATCTCAGCTGACTGCAACCTCTGCCTCCCAGGTTCAAGTGATTCTCCTAGCTCGGCCTCCCGAGTAGCTGGGATTACAGGGGTGCACCACCACACCCGGCTAATTTTTGTATTTTCAGTAGAGACGGGGTTTCACCATGTTGGCCAGGCTGGTCTCGAACTCTTGATCTCAAGTGATCCACCCGCCTCGGCCTCCCAAAGTGCTGGGATTACAGGCGTGAGCCACTGTGCCCAGCCCCGTGCTGCACTTTTGTGTGAGGCTGGGAGAGGCACTGGGCCTCCAGGAGGAGGCAGCACTCCAGCATTTGGCTGGGAGTGGAGCCGGGGCTGCACCTCTGCCAGGCATCCTCCGTGACCCTTGGAGTTACCTGATATGTCACATTCCCACATCCTCCCTGCATGGCCTCATCCTACCTCCGTCTACCTCTGGATGGTTCAAAAGCACCACTTGCATTTTTGGTGGTATCTTTGGAGCCAGGGTAACCTGGGTTCCAGTATGGCTCCCTCCCCACACGGAAGCTGCAAGGTCTAGGGCCAGATCCTTAGCTTCTCTGAGCCCCTCTTCTCCATCTGTACAATGGAGAAATGATCACATAACCCATAGAGAGGTTGCAAGAATTAACTGAGATTAAACAAGGCAAGGTCTGGCCCCAGGGCTGTGAAACGACACAGCTGAGCTACCGTTCATGTGAAATTGTAGTCACCAATGAATGACCACCACCGTAGCCAGGACTACAGGTGCATGCCACCATGCTGGGCTAATTTTTAAAATTTTTATAGAGATGGAGTCTCCATGTTGCCCAGGCTGGTCTCAAACTCCTGGGTTCAGGTAATCCTCCCCGCTCAGCCTCCCAGAGTGTTGGGATTACAGGTGCAAGCCACTGTGCCTCACCCTTGCATTTTTAACAAGTTCTCTGCTGGTGCTGATGCTGCGGGCCATAGATCCTGGGTTGAACCGTGGGCTGCACACCACCGTTCCCCTCCAGCACCTCATCCCTACACCTGGTTCTCTCTGCCCTGGACCCTGGTGTTGGTTACCTCTAAGTTGTACTCAGCCAGGTAATAAACAGCTGCACAGCAGGCTATGGCCACCCCTGTAGAGACAATCCAGGCCATCACGTAGGTAGAGAAGCGGGTCAGCTGCTGATTGAACGTCAACTTGGCATTCTCCTGACGGAGCTCTGACAGGTTCTCCTAGAAACATAAGAAAGTCAAGTTTATGGCTGGGCATGGTGGCTCATACCTGTAATCCCACTACTTTGGGAGGCCAAGGCGGGTGGATCACTTGAGATCAGGAGTTTGAGACCAGCCTGGCCAACATGGTGAAACCCTGCCTCTACTAAAAATACAAAAATTAGCCAGGCGTGGTGGTGCATGCCTGTAATCCCAGCTACTCGGGAGGCTGAGGCAGGAGAATCACTTGAACCCGGGAGGTGGAGGTTGTAGTGAGCCGGAGCTGAGGCCGGAAGAAATCCACTTGAAACCCGGGAGCGGAGGTTGTAGTGAGCAGAGATGGCACCGACTGCACTCCAGCCTGGGTGACCGAGTGAGACTCTGTCTCAACAAATAAATAAATAAACAAATAAATAAAAATAAATGAAAGTCAGGTTTATCTAGAGATCCCTCTCCACTGCTAGCAAAAGATCCCCAGGGAATGCTTGCCCACACCCAGAGACATAAATCCAGCCCAATCCACAGGTGAGAAGAGAGGGGGAACATTATGATGAACAGGGATTATGGGAGACCCACAGAGGACCTGAAATGGGCCAACGAATCTCCAAAGACTGCTTCCATCTTACAGAAACAGTTGGGATTAATAGATAGGGACCATGTTCTTGAAGAAAAGCACACCTGAGGTCCAAAATTCTTTTCTTGAAGAATAAGGTTTGGGGTATCTACACTGAGAAAGAAGCTCACATCTGTAGCCCTCATTGTTGAAGCCCCTTTATCTGGCTGGGTTTGGTGGCTCACACCTGAATTCCCAGCATGTTGGAGGGCCAAGGTGGGAGGATCACTAAGTCCAGGAGTTTAAGACCAGCCTGGGCAACATAGTGAGACTCTCTCCCTAAAAAAATTGTAAAAATTAGTTGGGCACGGTGGTATGCACCCGTAGTCCCAGCTACTTAGCAGGTTGAGGTGGGAGGGCTAACTGCACGCCAGGAGGTCAACACTACAGTGAGTTATGATTGCACCACTGTACTCCAGCTTGGGTGACACGAGCAGACTTTTGTCCTCGAAAACCATAAAAAAATTTAAAGACCCTTTATTTATAAAATCAGCTTGCTCTTTTTTTTTTTTTTTTTTTTGGAGACGGAGTTTCACCTTGTTGCCCCAGGCTGGAGTGCAGTGGCACGATCTTGGCTCACTGCAACCTCCGCCTCCAGGTTAAGTGATTCTCCAGCCTCAGCCTCCTGAGTAGCTGGGATTACAGGTTGTCCGCCACCACGCCCAGCTAACTTTTTTGTCCTTTTTCTTTAGTAGAGAATTGGGTTCATCATGTGTGCCAAGCTGGTCTTGAACTCCTGACCTCGTGATCTGCCTGCCTTTCGT